CCCTCTTTGGAACTGGTGTTTTGATGGCCTTCTGCGTAAAACGGGTCTGAGACACAGGGGAAACAAATTTACTGCTGTCGTAGGCAGGGGCTGCTCTTTGGCGGCTTGAGGAAGGACCTGTGTCTTGGCGCTTCTTCGATGGTGCCATAGTACCTGCAAAACGTGAACATATTAGTTCAGCCCAGCAAAACTAGTGTGACTTAATGCGGTTACTCAGACTTCACACGCAACTCAGTCACAACTGTATAATCATGCTCATTGAGATCTTTCCACAAACACCTTGTGGGCATTAGGCTCTCATAACTCTTGGCTTAGTGTCTAGCAACAATGGCCTCCCACCAAATCTCATACATAACTCAAATCAAGTACCCCCCCACCCTACACTTACAACAAACTAACCCCACAACATATTTCACCAAGTTGGAACACCAAATCACATAAACAACTACACTAATGGCATAAAATACAACATACAACAATTCTAAGAATAGAAAGAAAAAATATAGAAAGAGAGAAGAAAGAAAAACTAAAACTAGTGTGCATACCTGTTGGGGGAGAAGTCGTGAGAGGGGGGAAGAGGATAGGAATGCTTGAATTTGGGGAAGGAATGTGGAGAGGTCTTTGGGGAGGGTTTTGTGATTGTGAAATTGGGGAGAGGAGTGATGAAGTGGGGGGGGGGGGGGAACGGGAACGGGTATGTGTTGTATTAGAGGTGGGTTGTAAACAAATTAAAACACAAAAAATAAAAATTAAAAAGAAAACACACTAAAAAAAAAACACCGGAAAGTTCCNTGAAAAACTGCAGACCCCGCTCCATCAACTCCGAATACATATGTGGGCAGCGTGTCTGGACCGAACGGAGGTCAATACCCCTCTCCGGAACTGGTGTTTTGAATGGCCTTCTGCGTAAAACGGGTCTGAGCCGCAGAGGAGACAAATTTACTGCTGTCGTAGGCAGGGGCTGCTCTTTGGCGGCTTGAGGAAGGACCTGTGGCTTGGCGCTTCTTCGATGGTGCCATAGTACCTATTGGGGGAGAAGTCGTGAGAGGGGAGAAGGGGATAGGAATTCTTGAATTTGGGGAAGGAATGTGGAGAGGTCTTTGGGGAGGGTTTTGTGATTGTGAAATTGGGGAGAGGAGTGATGAATGGGGGGGAAGGGAAGGGTATGTGTTGTATTAGAGGTGGGTTGTAAACAAATTAAAACACAAAAAAACTAAAATTAAAAGAAAACACACTAAAAAAACTGCCGGAAAGTTTCCGGGGGGGGGGGGGTAGGGGGGTCGCGAACATTGCGCGAAGTCGCGCACCCTTCGCGCAATTTGGACCCTTAGGCAGAATGTTGCGCGAACTCTGCGCAAACTTTGCGTGAAGTCGCGCACTTTTGGACTCCCAGGCAGAATGCTGCGCGAACCTTGCGCGAACTTTGCGCGAAGTAGCGCACTTGGGCATTTATTTTCACCTGTTTTGCTCCTGGTTGATGGTCCTTTCACCCGCCCTTCGTCGCCTGCATTTGTTAGTATGTTAAAACTCAAAATCAAACACTACTACTATCGTTGGGTTGCCTCCCAACCAGCGCCTTATTTAACGTCGTGGCACGACGGTTACAACAATTCAATGGGTTGCCTCCCATCCAGCGCCTTATTTAACGTCGCGGCACGACGCAGAGTCTCGCTTACTCATTAGCGAGTTCAACCTTGGTCTTCTCACGATTTATCATTCTTCCCCAATAATGCTTAACTCTATGACCGTTCACTAAAAATTTCCTTTCGCCATTTAAAGTTCGTAGCTCAATTGCACCATAAGGAGTAACTCTCACCACCTCAAACGGACCTGACCATCTCGACTTTAGCTTCCCAGGGAATAGCTTTAGTCTGGAATTGAATAGCAATACCTGTTGTCCTGGCTCAAAGTGACGCGGCTTGATATGCTTGTCATGCCATCTTTTTGTCTTTTCTTTGTATAGCTTAGCATTTTCATAAGAGTGCAACCTGAACTCGTCTAATTCATTCAACTGCATAAGTCGTTTCTCACCTGCGGCTTCAAGGTCCATGTTCAGCTTCTTAATGGCCCAGTATGCCTTGTGTTCCAGCTCAACGGGCAAGTGACATGCCTTCCCATACACCAGCTTGTAAGGAGACGCTCCAATTGGCGTTTTGTAGGCCGTCCTATATGCCCATAGAGCATCATCCAACTTTGCAGCCCAATCTTTCCTATTCACACTCACCGTCTTCTCCAATATTTGCTTGATTTCTCTGTTTGACACCTCGGCTTGCCCACTTGTTTGCGGATGGTATGCTATGGCAACTCTGTGGCGAACTCCATATTTAGCTAGAAGGTTATTCAACAATCGATTACAAAAATGAGTCCCTTCATCACTGATTAAGGCTCGTGGAGTCCCAAATCTCGAGAATATGTTCTTTTTCACAAACGCAGCTACCACCATGGCATCATTCGTTGGCAAAGCAATTGCCTCCACCCATTTTGACACATAGTCAACGGCTAGCAAAATGTATTTGTTTCCTCTGGACGGTGGAAATGGCCCCATAAAATCTATCCCCCACACATCAAAAAGCTCAACTTCTAGAATGTTATTTAAAGGCATCTCATGCCTTCTTGTGATTGTTCCCGTTCTCTGACATTGGTCACACTTCTTAACAAATGCATGGGCATCCTTGAATAAAGTCGGCTAAAAGAGACCGGATTGTAGCACCTTTGCAGCTGTTCTATCTCCTTCATGATGGCCCCCATAAGGTGATGCGTGGCAGTCATACAACACTAATTCTACCTCTTTTTCAAGAATGCATCTCCTCATCAACTGATCAGCACATTGCTTGAACAAATAGGGCTCATCCCAATAGTAGAAGTTCACATCATGTAAAAACCTCTTTCTAGCTTCAGATTCGATTTCGGCAGGAAGTACCCCACTCACCAGATAATTTACATAGTCTGCGTACCATGGGGAGGGTCTTGGGTTATAGCAAAGCGTACCATGGGGGAGGGTCTTGGGTTATAGAAAAAAGTTGCTCATCAGGAAATGTTTCTTTAACTTGGCCACCCTCCTTCACGTGGTCGTGGTTTTCCAACCTTGATAGATGGTCAGCTACCTGGTTCTCTATCCCCTTGCGATCTCGTATTTCTACATCAAATTCTTGCAGCAATAACACCCAGCGCATCAATCTAGCCTTAGACTCCTTTTTGGTAAACAAATACCTGATCGCTGCATGATCGGTATGGGCTATGACTTTTGTTCCCACCAAGTATGCCCCGAATTTCTCAAAGGCCCACACAACAGCTAACAACTCCTTCTCAGTGGTGGTGTAATTCAGCTAGGCATCATCAAGAGTCTTACTCGCATAGTAGATGGAATAAAACACCTTGTCCTTTCTCTGGCCTAACACTGCCCCGACAGCATGATCACTCGCATCACAAATAAGTTCAAAAGGTAAAGACTAATCCGGTGCCACAATAATGGGAGCAGTCACCAACTTCTTTTTAAGTTCTTCAAATGCGTTGAGGCACGCATCATCAAAGTTGAGTGTCACATCCTTTTCAAGCAACCTGCACAAAGGAGTAGCAATTTTTGAAAAATCTTTAATAAAGCGCCGATAGAAACTCGCGTGTCCCAAGAAACTCCGGACACCCTTCACTGAAATAGGTGGAGGTAATTTTTCAACCGCCTCCACCTTTGCTTTATCAACTTCAATGCCGCTCCTAGATACTCTGTGACCCAGCACGATGCCTTCTTGTACCATAAAATGGCACTTTTCCCAATTTAGTACCAAATTCGTTTCTTCACAACGGGCTAGCACCATGCTTAGATTCCTCAAGCAATCATCATAAGAAGACCCAAAAACTGAAAAGTCATCCATAAACACTTCCACGAATTTTTCCACCATGTCGGTGAAAATAGCCATCATACATCTCTGGAAAGTGGCTGGTGCATTACAAAGACCAAACGACATTCGCTTGAAGGCAAAAGTGCCGTAAGGACAAGTAAAAGTAGTCTTCTCCTGATCCTCTGGGCATATGACAATCTGATTGTATCCTGAATAACCATCAAGGAAGCAGTAATATTGATGCCCGGCTAACCTGCCTAGCATTTGATCGATGAATGGGAGTGGGAAGTGATCCTTGCGAGTTGCCTTATTGAGCCTTCTATAATCAATGCAGACTCTCCATCCCGTAACAATGCGAGTGGGGATTAGCTCATTCTTCTCGTTCTTAACTACAGTCATTCCTCCCTTTTTGGGCACACATTGAACGGGGCTTACCCAGTTGCTATCAGAAATGGGAAAAATGATACCTGCATCGAGCAACTTGATTACTTCCTTTTTCACAACCTCCTTCATGATAGGATTCAATCTCTTTTGCTGCTCTACACTGGAGCGGTGTCCGTCCTCTAGAAAGATTTTATGCATGCAAAACGATGGACTAATACCTTTGATGTCAGCTATAGTCCACCCAATGGCCCTTTTATGCTCGCGGAGCACTCTGAGCAGTTTTTCTTCTTGAGTGCTGGTCAAGCTGGATGAAATAATTACGGGCAGTGTCTCAGAGTTTCCTAAATAAGCATAGCGCAGATGCGCTGGAAGTGGCTTGAGTTCTAGCTTCAGAGTTTCTTCAATAGATGGCCTGGGGAGAGTTAGAGTAACATGCCTGTCCAACTCTTCAAATTTTCTGAACCAATGTACATAACAGCAGGACATATCTACCACTTGCTCGATTTCTCCTATTCTTTCATCTTCACTATTTTCAACATCCCCAATCAATACTCGTTCAACAGGATCTGCAGGGCTCATATAGGGCACTAACGATGTCGCATCACTCTCCACCACCGAGATCATGGATAACTCTTCATAATGGGCTGGTAACCTCAGTGCTCTATAAACATTGAATACCTCCACTCGGTCACCTACTCTCATCGTCATCTTTCCTTCGCAGACATCAATAATAGCTCGACCCGTGGCTAAGAATGGACTCCCCAAAATAAATGGGACTTCCTAATCAGGCTCGTAATCCAGGATAATGAAATCAGCAGGGAATATGAAAGAGCCCACTTGAACTAGCACATCTTCAATCACTCCCTCAGGATGAGCAAGGGAGCGGTCAGCTAACTGTCGTTGGGCGTGGTTCACCCAATCCCAACTGTCTGAACACAGATAGCGGCATCAAATTGATGCTCGCTCCAAGATCACATAAAGCTCGCCCAACAGCATGTTTACCAATGGAGATGTGGATAGTGAAACTACCTGGATCCTTCAATTTCTGAGGTAACTTGCCTTGAATTCTGGAGCTGCACTCCTCAGTGAGTGCCACAGTCTCGAACTCGGTCAGCCTCCTTTTATTTGCCACAATATCCTTGATGTATTTTGCATATTTGGGTATTTCTTGTAAGATGTCAACCAATGGAATATTAATCTGCACCTGCTTCAAGATATCAAGAAACTTTTTATATGCGGCATTGTCTTTTAATTTCTGCAATCTTTGAGGGAATGGAGGTGGTGGCCTTGAAACCAATTGTGGGGGCTGCTCAGCCACCGCCTCTCCAGCTGGCTTCTCTGGCTCCGTGGCTTTCTCTGGTGTTGATGCTATAATGGCTAGCCTCTCAGTAAAAGTCACCTGTTTCCTCTTTTTAGGAGGAACTTCCTCGATTTGTCTCCCATTTCTCAACGACACGGCATTCAGGGCCGCCTTAGGATTTGCTTCAGTGTCGCTTGGAAGAGCTCCAGCTGGTCTAGTGTTTTGAGCACTGGCTAGCTGTCCCATTTGACGCTCCAAATTTCTCACTGTTGTGACGAGGGATTGCTGTTCAGCCATCAATTTTTAAACATGTCTTCAAGGTGGCTTGTAGGACTCGCTTGTTGTTCACCCTGAGGTGGTCTAAATTGCTGTTGCGGTGCTTGAGGCCTATATTGGTTCTGAGTGTCCTGGTTTCCACCCCAAGAGAAGTTTGGGTGGTTCCTCCAATTGGGATTGTAAGTGTTCCCATATTGATTTGCTTGGCCCCTATTTGAATTACCCACGAAGCAGAAAGACTCTGGGTTTGCGGGACATATGTCGCTCGTGTGTCCCTCTCCACATATTTCACAAAAAGCTTGAACCTGTTGTATCGGTTGTACCTGTTGCTTGTTGATATTCAAGTTCATCTGATTGACTTGATTGGCCAGCGTAGCAATCTGCGCGGATAATGCTGAGACGGCATCTAATTCAAGAACCCCTGCAGATTTTTGCACTGTGTGTCTGCCCATCTCTCCTTGCCAATCTGGATTGCTCTTGGAGAATTTGTTCAGTAATGCATATATCTCGTCAAAGCTTTTCTCCAACACTTGACCCCCAGCTGCAGCATCTACCACGATCTTTGTTTCAGAATGTAATCCTTCTATGAAAGTGTGAGCTAGCACTTCATTCATCTGATTGTGATGAGGACAGTCTCTGAGTAGCCCCTTGAACCTTTCCCAAGCCGAGTATAAAGATTCTCCCGCTTTCTGTTTGAAGGCAACTATCTCGCTTCTGATCTTTGCAGTTTTGCCTGAAGGGAAGAACCTTGCCAGAAATTTTCTTGCCAAATCGTTCCATGATGTAATGGAATTTGCTGGTTCTGACTTTAGCCATCGCCTAGCCTCACCCAACAGAGAGAAAGGAAAAAGTGCGAGCCTCACATAATCTGGAGTGACCCCGTTAGTGATATAAGTATCACTAATCTCCAAGAAGTTCAGAATATGCTGCTGTGGATCCTCGTGTGGAAGACCCATAAATTGCCCGTTTGCATGAAGCAGCTGGATCATGCTCTGTTTCAGCTCAAAGTGCCTAGTGATCCTGGGCTTCACTATACTGGAGGTGACATTAGCAATGCTGGGCATCGCCACCTCCTGAACAGCCATGGGTTGCTTCTCTGCCATGTCCACAGGAAATTGAACAAGTGCCTGAATATTATTCGTATCCCTTGCTTCCCTCAACCTCCTGTGAAATGTTCTCTCAGGTTCAGGATCAAAGCCTTGAAGTCGGTCCTGGCTTCTGACCCTACGCATTCAATCACAGTTCCTGAGATCCGAGCAACAATCAAGTAACGTTAGGCTCAACGAAATAAACAATTAAAGCAAAAACTAGCAAGTAGCTAATATTAAGTCCTCGGCAACGGCGCCAAAAACTTGTTGCTCCCAAACGCACACGCAAGTATACGTGGTCGTACAAGTAATAAAATGATAAGTCGAGTGTCGAAACCACAGAGACTTATATCAACTACTCACTAACACCCCAATATTGTTGTTTCGTCAAGCTAAATTCAGGTTCAAGAGTTTAATTATGCTAACTATAATTCTAAGTAACAACTAAATTATCAAGTAACGAGTTGATTGTTGTGTATTCAATAGAGACATGTATTCCAGGGTTGTGATTGATTCACCAATCGTATTGTGTTCTAATTAACTCTCCCTTTTCATATAATTCACTCATGGTTGCTAATTAATCGATAAGTGCTCTCATAGCCTTCTCCCGAAGTACTACTCACCTATCCTCAATAGATTAACGCCTATATTCCTATGGAATTAATCTATTAAGAACGCATTAAGATTACGATATTTAATTAAGCACGGTGATTAGGTATATTCCTATCCTAACCACAAATCCGCTCCCCCTAAGGGTTAAGATCATGCTCTCTTCAATTCTTCTCTAATCTAAACACGGCTTTCCCAAGCATAGCATAGATAGTGAATAGAACCTAACTGCTGGCCAGACAATTAAGCAATTGAACACAGAATTGAAGAAACAACCATATATGAATGAATTAAAATCAAGGTCGAGTTTATTATCAAACAACAATATTCATGGCTTAATCACAACCCCAGAACAATGGGTTTTAGCCACTCATGCTAGTGTGCATCACAATTAGGTTCAATTTCATCACAAATAGCAAAAACAAAGAGAAGAAAAGAAGAACTTGATAGTCCAAACTCCTCCTTGCCTCTTGCCTCTCGATTCCTTCCACTCTACTATGAAAACCTTGATAATTTGATCTTGGGCGAGCTTGACTTTATATAGGTTAAGTAGGTTTCTTTCCAGCTTTCCAATTTTACCCCTAACTAGCATTTTTTTTCGGACGACACTGCGCGAACTTTGCGCGACTTCGCGCATGTTGCGCACCCTTTCTATCTCAGCTTGTAACCTGCGCGACTTCGCGTATGTTTCGCGCACCCGGGGCTTGATTTCTTCCAATTTTTCGTCTTGTTCTTGCACGCACTCAACTCCGAGGGATCGTTTTTGCCTATAAATCATTCCAATAACCTTTTGAAAGCATCATATAAGCTCCTCACCCTGCAATGTACACAAATCACAATTAGAGCCTATTTTTCATCAAATAACCATTTTGTGTCATTGAAATGTAATTAAGCGGAAGCATAAACAATAGCTAAATCATCTAGATTTCGCCTATTATCATTGCTACTCCTAATTGCTCTTATGTGTTTCAAATGTATTTGATTGATTGTGCCTAGTTGTTGGTAATCTGTAAAGATATTTGAAATGAACTATAATGAATTTGTGTTGCGGGAATATATGTGCAAGATGTGTCTCAATGCTTTCAATATGCTATTTTGTCAAATGAGAATGTGTGAAGAATGTGAAACATGTGCTAATATACCTACACTTCAAGTCGAGTTTGATTTGAGATTGTTATGCCGAAATGTGTGAAATCCTCTTTATGCTTACGACCTACAATTGCTCTCGTATGCACCTGTTATCTTGAATTGAAATGTTTAATGTTGAAAGTGAAAATGATGTGAAATGTGGGGGAAAAGAGCTTGAGTTATGAAATGTGGCCTAGTGCCAAGTATGGTGTGATAATTGTGGCCCCAAGTGCCGATGAACTGATATATGCAAAATAAATTTGAAACGAGATGTTTGATGGAAAATTGTAATGTCTTGAGTGAGACAGCCTAGCCGATCGGGCCGTGATCGGATGCCATGCCGTAAACATGGTGGTATTGTGTTGGAAATTGGACCAGAATTGAAAAGGGAATTAAGATTGTGGAAAAATGTCTCCAAGGAGATGACCTAGCCGATTGGGTCGTGATCGGTCTCCGTGCTAGATTCACGGTGGTATATGTGTGTGTGTGTGTGTGTGTGTATATATATATATATATATATATATATATATATATATATATATATATAATATATATATAGGCACAGAAATTGTGATTGAAATTGGGAATTGGTTATGATGTGCATACTATGAACAATGGTATTGTGAATAGTAGTATTGTGAATTCTGGTGAATCGACACTAAAGATCTTCTATCCAATAATAATATCATCTTCATATTGTGAGTGTCATTTTCACCATATGAACTTTCGTATATTGAAAAATTGATATGTTTTAGCTTGGCCTTTGGATATCATTGATTATTACTTGTTGTTTATATGGTTGTATTTTCTTATATTGACATTCTATTTTGAAAGAGAACTTTCAGCTATTCATACTAGTACTATTCGACAGTACTAACGTCCCTTTTGCCAGGGGCGCTGCATCTTTAATGGATGCAGGTGGTTCCATAGTAAGCGGCAGTGATCAGTGATACCGGTACGCTCCTTTCAGCTAACTTGGTGATCCCCATTTCATTTCGGGGTCCAGTGTCCTTTTGTTATCGTGTACTTTGTATTTTGAGGTATAGCCGGAGCCTTGTTGCCGGCATTTCCATATTATTCTTCAGTTGTATTTAGAGGCTCCGTAGACAGGTTGTGGGTGGTGTTTGGTATTGGAAATTAAATTAGAAATATTTGTATTTGACAAAATGTTTTTCTTCATATCTATAAAAATTGTAACATTTTGGATATTATGGTTGAAACTGCTAATGGAAACAAAATGGAAGTTGTTAATGAAATATTGTCAGAGTTTGATTAATGGAGTACATCTCCTCTTTACTCAAAACATGAATTTGGGTAGAAAGAAATCTAATAGGCTTGCTCAGTCGGGTTTACTCGGTTGAGCGCCGGTCGCGCTCCTCGGTTTTGAGGCGTGACAGATTGACTGGACGTCTCATCCGAGACATCAACCACAATAACAATTTCAATTACAGTTTCCAACACAATCACCACCATGTGTACGGTATGGCGTCCGATCACGACCCGATCGGCTAGCTCGTCTCATCTCCGATTCTCGAAATGGGCCGCAAAATGGTCCTCCGAAACTGGGCACCCCTGCTTGGGTATGCAGTCGTTATGCGGTCTGCATATATGTTCTGCGGTCGCACAATGCACCGCAGACCTGTTATGCGGTCGCATAATGCACCGCAGACCTGTTCTGCGATCGCATAATCGACCGCAAAATGGCACCCAAACTTTCCCAATTTTTGCCTCACTCTGCGGCCTGTAGAGTGATTCTGCGGCCGCATAGTGGACCGCAGAAATGCCTTTTTTGCCAAAAATTTTCCTTTACTCCCCAGCGCACCATTCAACCCAAAAAGTCCATACCGCGGTTCGCAAGCTTGTCGCGAAGAATCTCTACAATCATGAACACGTAAATTTACCTCTGCACCACGAAATTCCGGGTTTTAGGTAAAATATTTTATGGGGCCTTACATACTCCCTCTCTTAAGATTATTCGTCCTCGAATGAGGGTCAGAGTTCACCATTAGCATCCAAGGTGACTCAACTTCCATACCACACACAAACAAATCCAAGTCTACAATCATGAACACGTAAGTCTACCTCGACACTACGAAATCTCGGGTTTTAGGTAAAATAATTTATGGGGCCTTACACACCGAATGGATCCACTTTTGATCAGTGACTCAAATTCATTTTTCAGCCTGAAGCAATCCTCGGTGTCATGCCTGGGTACGCTTGAATGGTATATGCACCATTTGGTTACATCAAAGTATTTTGAAGGATGCTCAGGGACCCTCCCTTATACTGGATGTATCAAGCCAGCTCCCCCCAGTCTTTCAAATAGTTGAGCCAGGGGCTCATCAATCGGGGTGTAGTTTCTAGGACCTCTTTCATCAAAATATGGGCGAGGTCGGGGTGCATAGGCGGGTCGATTTTGATGAGTGATAGTTTGAATTGGAGCATATGGTTGTGAAGGATTTGGATTTGTATGGGTTCGAGGTGGGTTATATTGAGGTTGGAGACTATAGTATGGTTGTGTGTTGTATACTGGAGCATAAGTAGGTGGATGTGGGGAATGGGTGTTTGGTGAATAAGAATTTTTTCCATGGTGGAGATTGGACTGGTAATAGGGAACGGTTGCTGAT